TCACCATCTTCGTAAATACAGTCACAATTAATTGGATGCCGGTTGGAGATAATGGCGGCTATACATTTCAAAATATTGTCTACTATATAGAATATTTTTCAATTGATGATTTTCCCGTACCTGCAGGAAAACAGTACCATAGGACTCGAAACACTAACAAAACTTCTCTAACATTTGTCATTTATGAAGATGCACCTACATTTTACCTCTTTCGACTTATAGCAGTTAATCCAGCGGGCTCTAGAGCAGGCGACTGGATACGTGGTAAAATTCAAGGTAAATTTACAATTGATTCGGCAATCGATTCTATACCGGTATAAATTGAAAACTTTTTCACACTTGCTAACCGATTACATTTCATCTTTGTCTCTTGATCATTCCCTTATCCTACCGATGCCGATCTTTTAGGATTAGAGCCATCTAAATGTGATATTGTAAGCACACGTTTAACAAATACAACAGCAACGTTATCATGGAATGCTATTACTTACAATGGCAAATATCGCTTAAGCGAAGTAACCTACTATGCCCAATATAAGATATTTGACGGCGAAAGCGGTGATTGCACGTCGTGTACAAGTACTTCAAAGACAACTAACACTTTTACCGAAATTATCGGATTAAATCCCGATACATTATATCGATTCCGTATTATAGCGGTTAATCCTTACGGTTATTCATCAGGCAAATTTACCGAAGCCCGAACGAAAGGTAAGGCTATCGTATCCCTTATTCTGGTCATAACTGTAGAAATTAGGCTTGTTATGATCGCTGATGCTGATGTTTCATTTTAGCAATGATAGAGTATATGGGATAGGGAAATTTCTGCTCGTATTTCATCATTATTATCATTTCACTAAAAGTAGTGTAACATAAAAATATAAATAAAGCAAATGTACTATTCTGCGTGATCCATTCCATCTTTAATGAAAAGTAGCTTGATTAGCTTACATTCTAGAAAAAATATTTATTTCGATGATATCGGTGCAATCGACTATTTTTCTTCTCCGTCTTTTTCTATCGGTCTAAAAGTTATAATTCGTTATCTTTCAGCTAATCCGCCACCTAAAGAGCCGCATCATGATAATAGAATTGGTGTTTATGTTGGAATTGCAAGCGGATTAGCAGTCGCTTCCATCGCTTTATTCATTGTTGGAGTTATTCTGTATCGGCGTTACAAAAGGAAAGCTGAAAGAAGTAAGAGCTCCTAACATACCTTTTATTAATTTTCTTAATATAATATTATAGTATTTCTTATTTTGAGATTTTTATTATACACGGTAACACTGTATATTTTTACTCGGTGATCAATTTCAGCCACTTTTTCTAGCCATAGATCTGCGAAATTATTCATGCTCTTCATAATCAATCTTGCGCCTTTAACATTTTAACATAAGATCGCTGAATAAGTAGCAGTTTAATCCTTGTTCAAATCAACATTACCCAATCCTAATCGTGGACTAGCAAAATCAACAAGTATCTAATCTCTATAACTAGCGATTTCAGGATAGCACTTTGACCACATAACCAGCGATTGTAACGTAGTTAAACACCGTGATGATCATGTATTTGAGATAAGCTTCGTCCATAGCTTTCCTTCCATTTTATAACTCTAGCCATCATCAAGTGCCGGTAATCATCTATCATGTTCTTTCACGCCTATAACTTCTAATTTATCAATCCGTTAATGTCACCAACAAGAATATCAGCTAATAAATAATTATCAAACTACACTTCTTGCAATAATTACAAGATCAGGCTCTGCAATTACAATTTTGTATACCTGTCAGAATCATTATTATCATTTTCTTCTCAATTAATCCAATCTGTGTCTTAATAAATACTTAAGTTTAGATAAATAAGTAATTAATCTATCCAATTAAGACATCATTAGTCATTTTCAACCTCTTTTCCAAATCATCAGCATACTGTTTTTTCGTTTTTACCGGCATCATTTTCAGTAGATTAGAATAGTCAGTTTAATAATGCATCATTCAGCCAATCTTAAAATTTAAAGTTTTATGAACTTTATATATGAGTTATTTAGATTACAAATTGCACTAAGAAAGTGCGCACGAGATTAACATTTAATATTGAGAAATGACTTTATCAACGAACGAAAATGATTAAAAAATTTTCGAAATTACTGCTTCAAATTTTTCTCACTTTTCTTTTCCTATCAATAGGCATTCCAGCCCAACGTCTACATGACTTAATGTCGCAGTCAACCAGCGATTTTGATTTCAATTATAAGGATACCATTGTATTAACTAGTTCTGAAATTACGGAATAAAATTGTATCTCTATATTAGATATCAATTAATACACTTTGTTCTCCAATCTACCATCTCTGTGGATCCCAAAATGTGATTTTGATTGCTACAATTACTATATCACTATCTAGTTACTCTAATCATCATGAATATACCTTAAGCCTACAGTATACCCCTCTGTAATAGATATGTATACAGTAGCATATTTAGTTAATGCACCTAATATTTTAATTTACTATCTTATATTTTGCTTCTTTCTCTCTTTGGTAATTGTAGCTATGATACCTACTGCATGTAAACACCTACTAGCCTGCTATTTACATATGCGGCTGAGTATATTGTACGGTAGTGTTTTGAAAGTTATAAGCGCTATTTAGAAATCTATGTAGACTTGATCTCGGCTAAGATTCCTTTACACTACTAACTCGTACTGTTCGATTATACGATGTCAGCCTATGATTAGATAATTACTCGTATATCTATAAGTAGGAAATTTGAATTTACTCGATAGCATCTTCTACTTTACTGTATAAACTCTAATAAACTCTAACCAGTAAGCGTTTATATTTGCATCATTTACTAGAAGCATTTGCCAAAATGGTCAATAAATATACGGTATGATGTGGTATACCTAGAACTACGAGTAGGCATCTGAAATACGTATCTGCCTTTAACTACAGTAAAATACAATTGTAATTACTTTCCAAGCAGCATGTTCAAGAATGAAATATATAAGAAATATATAATTCTATATGGTCTACGCAATTCCTAAGCACAACACACTTTCGACTACTGTACTGTAAGTCCTTTAAGAATCGCAATGGAACGACTTTCCCAGCAGAGACCTATAAAATAGTATCTTCTATAGAATCCAGCATATCAGCAAGATCTGTATTTAGAATTTTAATTAATAGGCCTGATTTTATTGTAACCGTTTGAATCCTATAAAGATACAAGTATCTGAAATTTTTGTGGAATATTTCAGTCCCTACACAAAGAATGCACTTTTTAAATGTCAAGTTAGTAGTGCATGCCAATATGCTCTATAATAATTTAATTTTACTGAAAAGCTTTAGGCTTTTATTTAATAGGTCTGAAAGTAAATTTTCTAGCCTAGCACTATAAAATTGTTCTGTTACGTTCAGAACCAGACCAGAAAAAAAGCATATGTAGCTCATTTCTATTTGTATAAGGATATCTGGTATGTTATGTACAAGGTTGTAATACTTAATCCATACCATAATAGCATATTGTAAGCAACTAACAAACACTTTCTTTAAAAAGGCAGTATTATGAGTGAAGAGTGTCCTATACTTTGAATTATAACTCTCGAACCAGATTAAATATCAAGCAAATTGATAGCAACAATCAATTAAGCCTTACTACAACTCTATTTTTGTATGAATGATGTAAAAATTTGGTATCATGAAGTTGAAAAATATATTAAAACTGTCTGCAAATAACAATTAGGTCCTATTCTCGTCTACCGCCACCTACAAATTGATCAAACCACTAACAGACAAAGTAAAATTGCGCAGCTATTGTGATAAATTATAATAATAATCAATTGAATCAATCATTTCAGCATTGACCGAAATTTAAGTAAGTACATAAATTCGCTTCATGATGTATATATTCATATATATACGGATATACCTATTACATTATGACTTAGAGGTAGTCATATATCAACATTAATTTCGCATTTAAAGATGGTGTAAACTAGAATCTCCTTTTCTGTACAGGTTAAACAAATTGCTCAGTCAAAAATTACACTCCGCCGCATAAAAGTTTATAAAGTTATCCTAATGTTGTGGTGAACGAGCAAGATGGAGTTTGGCAGTTTTACGACCAAGCTCATATAATCTATCTTGAATATGATTCGTTATTCGAATTCTAGTTTCAGCCTATTAGTTAATTAAATCAAATATACATAAAATTACATGTTAATATTGACATCACTGTCACTTCACGTAACACGAAATTAATCATGAATAAACATTAATAGCATTTCTAAGCAGTCATTATAATTAAACGAACCAGGCTTAGTTTATGCCTTCTATGATCTTGTATAAAGTTATCCACATGTATTGGCTCGCCAACATTGAATGTTACTTTCTTTATATTTATCATAGTATATCACATAGAATGGTTAGAAATTATAAATGAGTTGATAACATAGTTTTTTTAAATTTTAGATTTAATGAAATATCATTGATTAATAAAATAAAAGTCCTACTTTAAACGGCCTTGGTATATATGGTTTATAGTTTGGTAGTAAATCATCCATGCCTAAGTAAATTATTTGTTTCAAGAGAATAAATAAAAATGGAATACAGTATTCATTCATTTTACTAGACCAAACTAAAGCTGTACTATATCTAATATAGATCGAAGAACTATACAATAGTTTTATTTAAAATAATTTACGAATCCCTTTTAAACCGACAATTCAATGTATAATTTATCCGCTAATAACTGTTACTAAATGAGTACCAGCAAGGAATGTTTACTTGACAAACTAAGACTACAGCTACGAGCAAGTCGAAGAAGCGGAATGTAGCAGAGATAAGGGAGCACTTCTAGCTCAACATTTAGAGAGGCTGACTTACCAATACTAAAGCACGCAGTCATTTAGAATTAAGGACAAAGCATATGGTATATAGTGCCGACATACACAGAAATAATCAAATTGCTTCAAAGTATTGAATCTTAAATCCTGACTAATCAACGATCAGGTTTAAGGCGACACAGGTTACTGTATACAGTATCCGTTGGACAATCATCAGTAAAGACTAAGTTCCTGCTTAGATATTCACCTTCATGCCAATAAGGTAATACAATTGGAGGGGTTTTAGCTTCCATTATTAGTCTTGAAATACCTATAATCCAAGAAAAGCAATTAATAAATTAAAACTGAAAGATATGCTTAAGTTACTTTAATCTAGATAAAATCTTAAAAGTGATTAATTTATACAGCTTGATTATTACGAATAATTTGTGTTACATACCCCATTTGATCCTCATTGGGGTTTTAGCCATATTGACTCCGCCTGTTTATATCGTTGAGGTAAGGATTATGTTAATTCAAAATACTGTACAATCAATTCTACGATTCTATCTCCGATTTCAACCCATACAAAATTATTGTAATCTTACTTATGCAAGTGCTGTAGCTTCATTTTGATAAAGGAAAATTGATATTAGCATTTACCTTCCGGGAAAATATGCACCCAATCACCTTCATCTAATTTTTCTATAGCCCAATCAACTCCTGGCTGATAAATGCCATCTCCACGGACAACAGGAACAACCTATGCAAGTGATAAATTTATCATTGATTCAAATTTTAACATTTAGAAAGTACACCATTCTACATTACAGGTAGTAATAATTTGAAATATTCCCATACTACATTTCCTCAAAGTATCGTAGCCTACCCGACCACTTGTAAAGAGTAAGGTTAAAGGAAAGCTGGTAAAGCAGATATTATTGGCAGCTAGAGTCCTAGTATAGTCCAAAGAGAAGACAGCAACAATTTTCAATCACGATAAAAATTCAATCAAGAATTTGACTTGTACATTGAAAAAGAAGAAATTTGACAATTTATTTCTACCATCTCATCAGTTTATACTGCATAATAGTAGAGGCAGGTAGTAGGCCTTGAGGGGAAAACAATGTCCACACCCGTTTGAAATTGTCCATAGATCCATATGAACAAGTACAAAATGATAAAGCATCAGTAGGTACATGCCCAAGATGGTTTAGAGTTAGGATACCGAAATAGATTAAATTACTAATGGTAGACAGCAGTGTAATGTCTCTTAATTTAATTTATGATTGATTGGCTGGATTCAAAGATTAATTTGACTAATTGATCCGACAGTTAAATTGAATTTGTTTACAACATATTTATTACACATTACACATTGATACATTTCTATACTTTATTAGAGTTGGATATAGATAGATCCCATTCAATCCTGTTAAATTACTCATGATAGACAGCTGTGCAATATGTAGTAATCTATTTTAGGCATTGATTAGCAGCATAGAATGATAAACTTACCTAATAGACCAGGATCATCAACACAACAGTGATGATTAGAAACAGTAATTAGTCCAACATGAGGAGGTCGCTTGGTAACAGCATCATTCCATCGATCAAGATTAAAACGATTGCCATAAGTTAATCGGTCTACGATAAACAGAATAATATCAAGACTTGATTAATTTATTGTACAAGGAAATGTGGACGGAGAAATGAAGACCCGTAATCGTTGCAGTGCTGTAGAATAGCCAAGATGGCTAAGAAAATAACAATTCCTGCAGGTAACAAGCCAGTGTAATATTCATTAGCTGTATCTTACCCATGAATACTTTACAAAGTAGAAACGACGATGTCATTACTGCACAATTGATCCAGTTATAAAATTTTGCTTTATAGAATTTATAAGGGAAAGTAATCGTCTGTGAAAGTTTGGTATTGGTCCATTTCTCTCCGCCAGCATGCGCCATGTTGAATGATTGAGGCGTTGGACGTGACGCACGCCACGGTGAGTGAAGTGAATCGATTCAGTCAACCGTCTGCTTCACTTGTTGGCGACAGATAACGGCGAGCTCAGTGCAATACGGTACAGTACACGACAGTTACCGTACATTACTGTAGTGTACAGTACTGTACTGTACTGTACAGTGTACTGTACAGTGACATTCAATCGGTGTCATAGTAAAGACTGTAGATCTTTCCGACGTGCTAAACCACGCTTGCGTCAACCATGGCGGGAAATTCCAACTCATTCATACCTGATCAACCTCATACTGCATTCACTTCAGAAAAGAGAGAAACAACATGAACAACATGGCTGACCCAGGTTAGCATTAAATGATAGCTGTAAAAATAGGATAAGCATTGCAAAAAGGGCAAGATGGATTAATGATTTCAGTGATAAATGATAGAATGGATCTATCTCTACTTTATTTCTTAAAGACCATTTGTATTCAATGATAGCTGTGAAAAATAGAATAAAATTTCAAAAGTTGACTAGGCTACGAGTAGTTGCATCACCTTTCATCAGTGATAAATGATACAATTCATCTAGTTCTATACGGTTTCTAAAAGACATTTTGCTTAGTATTCAATGAGAGCTGTCAAAACGGGAAGTCAAATTTCAAGATGGCAAGATAGACTAGTTGGTTACATCTCTGATAGCGGATAGAATGGATCTATTTCTGTACTATTTCGAAAAGATAGTTACCGTACAGTGTATTCGTAATCAATGATAGCGGTGAAAAATGGGATAGAAAATTTTAAAGATGGCAAGATATACCGTTTATCTCGGTGATTAATGATCGAATTCATTTATTTCTATATTTTTCTAAAGACAATTTTGAAACGCTCCTGTCATTAATGGACGAAAAAGAAGATGCAAACCATAGCATAAATGATACAAATTTTTCCATGGTAGATGCTTTAAGTAAGTCTTGTTTCAGATGATTTGCAATTTCTACCACAAATTATCAAAGTAAAATTCCTCCTTCGAAACTTGACAGTTTTAAGACCCTTAACCTTATAAACTCGTGTAATACTGCTACTCTAAGAATCTGGCTAAGCTCAAATTAAACGACTGTAATGTTGTAAATGATGATATGGGTAGTTTGTACTCGACGGTAATGAGCTACTTCTTGAAAATAATACGACCTAAATGGAGAAATAGTTCTTGACCAGCATATAACTTGCTATACACCTGTTAATACGAAATGTATAACTATTTTCAATGATACATTAAAAATGGAAGTAACTTTAATAAATAGCTTAGCAATGAAACAAAATAATACTGTAGATGATCCAAGTATGATCTGGCATTGAACGGTAATAACCTAGAGTATAAAAAGATTGCAGCACGGTCTAGTATGATAATTGGCAAATATTTAACCGTGTATGCTCTGAAAGCGTACATTAAAAATGTTAAAGGATTTTACAAAATTAATATGAAAATCATGAAAGCCAAGCAGTTCCAATAAAAGAAATAATAGAAATGACTGAATAGTCTGCATTATTATATCGGATAGTAATAAATGAGATTCTTAAAGCAATGCAAAGCAGTCCAACGTAGTTATGAACGAAAGAAGTATGCATACAGTATATTATAAGATGTTAATGAATACTTCAGGAAAAATAAACATAAAGCGACGAAATAGAGTTGAACAAGCCGTAATTATACGATTAATATGACAGCATGAGCAATGTAGCATTGAGAACTAATAAATCGAACTCTAAAATTAATGCAATATATCCCAGTAAAGTTAGCCTGACCTAATCTACATGCAACGTTAGACAACTTTAATGGATGCTTCCTGTAAAGCAAATTTGAAAAGTTTTCAATCATGAAATCAATTTAAGCAGCTTTTTTTCTTCTTACAGATGAATTAGCAAAGTACAAAAATAAATGTAAAACATTAGAAAATCATTTGAACAATTTTAATCATCAACAAGGAAACACGAAACCAACAACGCCCAAGAATTTACTGCAGGGTGAAAAGACAAACGCCGGTAAGTACCTGATTATATCTAGCCATTATAAATATCATTGAGGCAAAAGGAGAGCCTTCGTTTTCACTTCTGCATGCATAGACAGTAAACTCTCTAGCTTGCTGCTTCAACGAAGCTAGTAGTTATTAAGTCGGTTAGTATTTAAAATTTTGTTATAAAAAAGGTTAAATCTCATACAGCTCAACACTGGCTGTCGTAATTATAACTAATTTATAACGTGCTATCGATCATGGTCAAAATAGTAAAATTATCCGTGATTGGTAATTAAATAAATATTTATGCAACGTAATATAACGTATATCATTTAAATGAAAGTTATTTGTTGTTAATTTACCAACTACATATTTTCGATCATGAAATTTTAAGATAAACTGCTATGATAAATTATGATAGTGTACTAGATCGGATGTAATTTAGTAGACACAAGATTTCTTTTTCAACTATATATAATTAAGAAATTGTAATTGGAATCTGCCTATTGACTTTATACAACTAATTATTAGATTATAGCAAACATACTACACAACGGCCATTGCAAAAAAAGAAAAACGACATACAAGGTCTGCTTATAGTAATACTAGGTGTACAGTAATGTGCGATTGATACTCGTAACTGTAGCATACCTTTTAACAGAATAAATCCAATTGTGGTAGCTTCTTTAAAGGTATTTCACAATAATTATTCTGTCATCGTTACTAGCACCAACGAAAAAGTATCAAAATAAATCTGATGCTGATCGAGAGAAATATTCCGGTTTAAGGATAGTGTAAGTCTGCAAAGAAATTTAAAAATCCCTATCCTTAGGTTTAAATACATTATACTTATCCTTACCAATTTTCTCTGTTACTTATATGTGTAGAAAGCCGGTTATATCATCAGTAAGTTTAGACACAAAAATGAAAGATAAGAAGTTCGTTAAACTTTGTGAATTGAAGTGGCAGAAAGACAAATTAAATGATGATAATAATTGGGTAATCATGGCAGTAATTATCCAAAAGTTACCCCCTAAACAAGCATCAAATGTAAGGTTGCACGTTAATAAGAATCAATGATAGCGAAAATTATCAATCTACTATATTTGCAATCAAATATCTTATAGTAACTTGACTTAAAATGAATACTAATCATTTAAAGCAAACCATTCTTTACGTTTTATTATTGCATACATGTTCGGTCCAATAGCACCCATAATACGTATCAGGTTACTTTTTAGAGGCGACAGGATAAACTAAAATCTATAATGCGATGATAGTCTATATCGATTTAACTCTATGCCAGTTCATACTGTCTTCCCTAATTTGTTACAGCATTGTACTATGCAATACTAGTGAAAACTAGCCATCCTTTTTACTCGCTTCATATTATCCATAACTGAATTCTAAACAAAAGTTTCTCTTTAAATTCTTATTCAGGGTAAAACGTATGGTATCTTAAAATTATCAGATTTTAATACCACCATTTCACTTTTCCTCTTCGGGGATTCTTACAAAGAACATTGGAAAATAGTTGAAGGAACCGTTATCGCTGTTGTCAATGCAACAGTTATGAAATCGAAAGAGGTTAATTAATGAAATAAAAATAACATTTCATCTTCTATGAAAATGTTACCTGTTTTTTTGGTAGTTTTGACAAGCTTACTATTCTCAAAGTGATACAATTGTATCTTTTCACCGTAGGGCAAGAAGTATGACGATATTTCACTATCTCTAGATTGTATTCATAAGTTACTGCCTGTTGGTATGTCCAAAGACATGGGCAAATGCATAGCTACAAGGAATGATGGTGCTGTATGTACTAATGTGATCGACAGGTAATACTATTGTAGCTTATAATTTTCTTACTGCAGCCTATCTATATTATTCTCTTTCTATCTATTCATAAGATCAAAGACTGAATACTGTGACTTTCACATTCACACCGTTTACAAAAAAATGAGATCGCACAGGATGGAATTCCAGCACGGGTATAGATAAAATCTGTACATTTACACAACTTCTTTTCATGCACAAATTCTAGAATTACGCGTTAAAACTACAATTTAGTTTAATTTTTTATTATCTTCGTAACTTTTGAATGATTCCTGCAGATATGGTGCTCCACATGTACCTAAATATGCTCCTCTTAAAAGGAAGATGGAAAAAGATATATATTTCTACCAAGGGCAGACGTTCATGATGAAACCTCCACCTCCGACGAAACAAAATAAAAAAATTTCTCTTAAGGATATAGGTGGTTCGGAAGTAAAGACCGTTTCATTTCCTTTAACACAAACATTAGCAGGAAGTACTAGCGTTAATAATTCCCGTGTAGAATCTGTGAGAGAAAATTCAAGTGGTAGCAAAGTTAATAGATCTCCTTTGATTGATCAAGAATCTTTGTAAGTTATTTAGATCTGTTGCTGTAAAAATGACTGAAAATGTTCACTAATTTTTGATTATACGACTAAACTTTCTTTTCTAGTCGTAAAATGTTACAAGTTCCTTCCGTTGGCTCACGGAATATAATACAACACCTTACTGATGATCAATTACATAAAGGTAAAATTCCTACTTAAGGCCACCTCGTGCTATTGTGCTTAATTGCTAATAAAGTAAATAGAATCGTATATTGTAATGGCTTAAACAATCTGTAGTCACTAACAAACGTTCTTATGTAACAGACAGCAAAAATGTGTCAGAGAAAGCTCTTTCAGCTTCACAATTACTCAAAGTTCATGCTGAAGCCACAAAAACAGGAACTACACCAGTCAATTTTGAAAAAGTTGGCCCGCGCCTTGGTCGTGGTTTGCTACCGGGTGCCTTTATTAATTTACCATCGAAGATAAGTCGTTGTGCAGCGAAGGTAAGTAAATTATGTAGGCAATCTGTGCGAATCTTTTGTTTTCTACAATTGATGTGGAGGGCTTAAATTGAAATTTGATTTAAACCCTCTCTATAAAATGCACTGTACTATGTTTAAAGTAAAAATACATGAAAATTTGATTTGTGATATTGTACCATATCGTGTGAGTACCGTACAGTACAGTACATCTCGAAAATTTCTAATGGCTAGGTGCATAGGGTTTCAGTTCAATGCAACCGCAGACTGTATTGCTTTGTAAGATGTTTTGTATATTTACGCATAAAATTCTTTTTTAAGTATAGGTATATCTCCATTATTACTAGTAGCTATTATAAATTTGTAAAACACCAGCTGATTGAGCCTCTTTAATAACAAGTTGCATATTTCAATGAGGTCATTAACGGTTGTGACCAATGTTACCAAGCGATAGTCTCGACCACTTGTTGAACAATGACCAACATATTCTTAATCTGATATGTAAATATTGTCATTTTAACATGATAGACTGTTTATAAATTACTTCTCACATCGACAGAACATGTACATTATGATTAGCTTATTTAACTATCTTGCGTAGATATCGATTCTTTACTCCTAACAATGTTATTAATTTTATTAGCAAAGAGCAATAGCTATTGTCAAACAAAAGCCCTTAAAAAATGTCGATCCTAATAGCACGTCAGTTACGCTAACGGAAAAGGACCTTCAACGAATCAACAAACGACGAGAAGATAACGTCGAACGTTCAAATCGTCAATTAGAGAAAAATAGCAACTGTACGACATAATCGTTAAAAATGCATCCGCTCTTTATTAAGTCAGTACACTTTTAGTTGTAACTTATCGACTATTTTGTAATCGTGTTAATAGCCAACCAAGACAACAAAGATTCTCCACCGGTAAAGAAGAAGCGAAAAGGAATACTTGGAGATTTGAATACCATAGATTTACAATCTCCTGAGGGTCAACTGTTATTAGAAGCAAAATCAGCTTTTGAAAATATTGTAACTGATGTAAGCAACATTAATTTAGTGTATCCAAAATTAAATAAGCTAATTGTAATCGATTTCAAATTTAGATGGATTTGGAAAGGCAAGAACTATATTTCCAGGAATTAGAACGAAAAGAAAAAATATATGATCAGCTCCAATCAATTCGAGATCAAACTGTATCGGCATATCACTGTAAAGCGGTAACTGAATATATATACTCGTATATGTTGAATTTATAATGGCAGTGTTACGGAGAAACGGATTAGAAGAGTAATTTTAATGAAACGAGACATTCCTGTGATCTTTCTATTACAGTGCAGATATACTGCCCAGAGCATCTCTCCACTTTGCAAGGAGCACAATCATACAGTTAATCGTATCAAAGCAAGGAAGCGATTTTTTGAATGTAGAAATTGTAATTATAGGACTATCACATACAATCAAATTATACCGATAGTGCCTTGCCGGTAAATCAGCTGTAACTCCTGTGTTTATCATATATTGTAAATAGTGAAGATTCATAAATTTCAACATTCTTAAATTAAACAGTTAGGCTCACTGCTTTTATTTTTCCTAGGAAATGTCAAGGTATCAACTTCAAAAAAACTGGGATGTACAAGGTAAATTAATATTGTTTTCATTTCCAAAGCCACGAACTTTGTCAATACTTTTACCTTTACCCTATACAGTCATTACAACGTAATAATATTTCTTTTTTAAAGGAAAAAGAAGGTCCAAAGGCTGATCGAGATATTTTGCTACCTCGTGGTGTTGAACATCCAAATTTTTTGAACAGTCTGCGATAGTATTTCTTAGCATCAGGATTGAAATTATGGCTTTTTGGAATTACATGCGCAAAGTATTGTACAAATTTCACTAAAAAGTTACGAGGTACTGCGATAATCATGTAAATAGTTGGTCGTAACTACGACGCCTGTAATACCCTTAATCTAAACTAGCTATGGATTCTGTAAAATAAATGACGAAAAGATATGCTATAATTATTCGCGATAATTTTATTCATACTGTATTACTGCATTGATGTGGTTAATAGCCAAAGATGATCCCTGCTTTTTTAGTGATTTATCTACTAAATCTATTTACTTATTGAGCTATGAAATGATGATAAATCTAGTAGTTGATATTATTTAGAGTTAACATCTATGTTTGTAGATACTCGTAAGAAAAATGATAATTATCATAAGATTTAAAATCGTACTAAAATTTTATTACATGAAAACTAACCTTTTGTGTTATTAAAGAATATGGATGATTTAAATTGCGCTTACGGTACTGAGAATTACATCTTTGAACACATTCAGATTGTTTGTGGTTATACAGTAACATATCTTAATACTAAAAATTTGAACTTCATTTTATTACAATAGTAAATATCATTTATTGTAACTGTATCTGCTTATTGTTTTGATCATTAATTGTAGTTAACAGTGTATGATTCTTACTGGACGAAAAGTTAATTTTAATTACAGATAATGTGATAATACAGTATCATGTTGTCAGCAATTGCTATTGGTGGATACATAGATCAGATGATGATAAACCTGTTAACCATTAAAAAATTTTAAGTTGCCGTTTTTAAATCAATGCAACCATAGAATTATTTAGGAATTCATCAGTAAATCATTAAGTTCATCGAAGGCATCATCAATAGCTTTCTTGCTCTTAATATCTTTTTCTATCCCAACAAAATGACAGTAAAATGTGTTATCTGTATTGAAATTTAAAAAACACTTTCGATGATTAAAATATTGACTTACCGACATGAATGGTCTCTTTTGCCTTAAGGTAAATTGATGAATCTTCTTGTGATTTAACTTCTAGCATATAGGTTCCAGCTTACCAATAAGATGTAATTTGCTTTTAAGTCACTGTCTTGTATCAAACTTAAATTTTACAAGCAACTTATTTTATGAGATTATTACGTAATACTTACAATCAGAAATTTTTAGCTCAGTAAATATAGCCAGCGACGGGTGATCATCGCATGATATCAGAGGCAAAGAGGTTTCACCAATCAATATGCCGGAGCCTACAAATAAGCATTAACATCCATCAATTCCTATTTCAAATTACATTTTAAATTATTGTAATATATTTTATAATATGATCTACTCTCGCTGAAGGAATAATAGCATACTTCCACGAATAGTAACTGTTACGATATCATTGCTATGCGGATCTCCTTCCACGGTAAAAGGGTTTAGCTAATGTGAATCAATTTACAAATTTGCATCAATAATATGATTATAATTGACATCGAAAGTTAGAAATTCTCTTTACCACATGGTTTTCAACTACCATATTTTGAGGTGGAACTACCCATTCCAGTTTTGTCAAGGCACCTGTTGATATTTACAGATACATTGTATTTTAATATAAATTAACTGCTTTACTCTTAATCTAATTATAACTTAATTGTAAAATACAAGTGGCAAGCAATCCCTTACTTCGTTTACATGCAGCAATTCGATTGACGATCTTGTCAGCAATTTTACTTGATTTTACCTAAAATACAAAGATAGCAGAGTTATACGAACTACTATGAACATGCTGTATGTTATCCATCAAATTGTGTTATGTTTCACAGGAAGTTTCATTATGCCCCATCCGATATAATCCATCTTAACTACAACCACAATTGTGCACTTGCCAATTCAGTAATTTTATCCAATTTTAAATTGAGAAGTTTGGACACTTGATTGTATCCCTAGCCAATTAAAAATTTTAATAATGTTGTAATAAATGCTACGTATATCACCGATATTGTAAATACATATGATACCCTAGTTTATTCCTTTAGATAAGAGAATGAATGCTGTTTACTAGATTCAACAAGCGCGCAAAATTTTGATTAACTTACGTTAACAGCAAAACTTTCAGCGTATGCGACAAAACCAATTTTATCAAACCAACGCATAACTCCAAGTTCTAGAAGTTGTAAAAATAAATTACGAATCAGTGGTTCTGTCTTCAGTACCCTAGTACAGATTATTATTATGATACAATTATAATAAATATTTTTGCAGTATGATAGATAATGCAGCATCAAGCATGGAGGTTTTTTTAAATGTAGTTCTTGCTTATGTAGATAAAGTACTATGTGAAGCATCAAGATATCAAAGCAAATTTGGTAGCAAAACGAGCTGATTTCAGTACTTCCAAAATAGTTCATATTATACTGTACATTGATTTAATTAGCACTTTTATTTAGATATTATCAGCAATAACAACAATATTCTATTAACACTTTCATCATCTAGCAGTATCTAAAATGTATGCAGACGACATCACAATAGAAGTCATCACAGAAGTCATGATACAACTCCTAATGATCAATGATAGTATATTTGAACAATATATGATAATTTTAATCTATATTATTTCTCCAACAATAGTTTCTTGTTATAATAGAATTAAGATATTTCGATAAGACAGTATTCAACGATTATGATAGTGCCTTACCAACTCCATAGAATTTGATGCTATGAAAACATGTTCGATCACCTCCATGATTGTTATATATCATTAATCGAAAATACTGACATAAAAAACAAATAAGATCTGAATTATTCCATCTAAATACTGAGAAAGATGCTTTATTGTAGTGACTAATTAATAATATGAGAAATAGTGCTTGTAAAGTCATGCAAAAAAGTACTAAAGTTAGACCGTTTTAATATTACATCAACCTTTCTGGTATTTTTTTTACAATCCCTTATAGTTCCTACCTGACCAATACATTCGAATTCTTTGAAATTTTGTGGTAACCCTAAAAGAATAAATTAAAATCTTTACTATAAACTAACTTGTAGATTAAATGTTAATTTATTAGACGTTTGAAGATGATACTATGAGCTCTACCTGCTTCAACTAAATTAGATGGTCCACGAAGGTCAGCACTAAACGTTTTTATAGACGTCCATGGGCCTCTATTATCATATACACAATAGCTAAGTATTTTATGCAATTTTTCTTTCTTTTTTTAATTCCGTATCAAATACTTCATCTCAATGAAGCAATCGTAATGAGTAGATCTCCATAAACTAAATTCTTACCTGATAGATCTGCCTCTTTCAATAGCAAATTCTTTAAGCATTTTAGGACTATTCCTGTTGATAGAGTTAATTATCAATAGCCAAATTATACCATTATGTTTCCTCTTAGAGTCAACATATTTTTAAAATGACACCTTCGATATCTAATTGACCGATGTAATCTCGTGAATATGCCGAGATGTAATATCTACGTTGATATATCTGATAAGTGATACAAATCATCTCCCAAATATACCGAAAAATATGTTGCTGTTGGTATGCTTAATTATCAGTAACCACGTGATATATTATTATACTTGTACATCCTTTGAGTGTTTTAATATATCGTTTAAATTATATACTTTGATAATAAATTGAACGATCAAAATAATGTCACAATGATATCTAGAGAAGCGGCAATGGTGCAATCCATTTATATTAAGTAAGTGACTACATTTTAATCAACTAGTCTGTCTTGTACACCAAATACGTCAGCAGATACTAAACTAGAAAATGAATAGTAATCTAAATGTGTAGCTGATTGATATAATATATTCTTTACTACTATATACCGATCGACATAGATAAAATCTGAATGCTAGCAAGTAGAAATATTATGACACTTTACCTGCACTGGATTGAGTTCAAACTATGTTTTCATCATTTTATTTTTACTTACCATCCAGTGATTCTGATACCAGTAATGATGTGATAGTCATTTAAGTCAAACACTACCTGAAAATAAATCAATCCAACAAAGTTGACTTAATAGATATGTTGTGATATACCAAAAAAATCAACTATAACAGAATAGCTTTGTGCTTCTAGCGAATTAAGTACGGACTATCGAGTTGACATCCAGTCCATAACATCAAAATTTTTACAACAGCAACTTAAATCAAGTAAGTAAATTTTTTATTATTTAAATTTTAATAATTTTAACGAATTCTACAGCAATTGAGATCAAGTAATTACTGTAATACTATTAGCTAACTCACTGAGCAATATTTTTTGTCATTAAAGACAACATATTTGTTGGGTGTATCTATGGATACAATAAAAAATAAAAAGAGAGCATTAGCTCATTCTTAAGTATTTTAAATATCGGTGTTTAGTAGTCTACTCCCTAACTTTACTGTTTATAAAAATTGATTAGATAAATGGCTTATTAGTCGTTACTTACCGTTTAATATATTAACACAGGGATGATTTGGATCACATTCACTAGAATGGAGAGGGTCGTTTCTCGTCCAATAGAGAAAATTTTTAAGTAAAGGATATGATCCTAAAATATCATTTATATTTTTAAAATTTTACTTTCTCAGTAAAATATTCATTTAATAGACATTAAACTGGTTAATAGTGTACTCTTTTGCATTTAAAAATAAGATTAAGTTGAAATATCCATATAATCTACGAACTATGGTATTAAAGAAAGGATGAAGTAAAACTTGGTAAATGTCAATGACGGATACGTATGCAGATTTTAAGCTTTGCTAAGGGTATATTTGTAATGTATAATATCTGAATCTAGCCTGGACTAAATCGCAGTAAAACAATCTTCTAAATATCAGCTATGACATTAAATACATCGAGAATCTTTAATTAACCATTAATCAACTCCTAACACTGAAATTGTCAAAATTTGAATACTGAAAGTTACTTTTTTCCATATCCGTTATATAAGCCTGTTTAGGCCTAGCAGGCTTGGCTATTGGAATCGTCTATAATATAGTTTAATAATTATATAT